AAACTAAGCCACAGAGACCTCTGCCCTCAAGGAGCTTATATAGATGTCGGAGTGTATGTCCCTGGTCTCTGTAGCCTATGACCAAAATAAGGTCACAGCTCCCCCTTTATATCCAAATTATTATGAAACAAACTTCGAGCCTGTGTGACTGCCCCAAGTCCAACCTTCACCTGGTTTCTTTCTGCAGATACCACTGGGAGAGTCTCAAAGCCCCACATCAAATGTGCCTGAGAGCAAGAACTCAGGTTCTCCCACGTCAGCCTTTTGGTATCACAGTCTGTTAACAGCTGCCTTGCCACCAGTGGCCTTTGTGAAGGTCACTGCTCCAGCAGCCTCATGTGTCCTTTGGAATCACTGCTCACACCATTGCTGTGGCCTTGGAAAGGAACACTACTGTCCCTTCCCTCAGCTCTTCTCTCAGAAACACAGTCAAGCTGTCAGGTCACTGGTGTAAGCATGAGCCCAAAGTTGATTAAATGATTGGATCTCAGGTATGCTTCACAGAGCAGAGGCCTGTTCACCCTTGCCCCTTGGCATCTCCATGCCTTGGAATCCAGGCCCCAGAGAAAGATGAAGGAAATTTCTTCAGCTATGTGAGTAAAAGACTCTTGGGAAGTGGTTCTTTTTGGCCAAAAACAATTGTAGGACTTCAATCTAGAAGGCAGAAATTGAGAGTTTTACAATAGCACGTTCTAGAGCTTTCAAAATAATCTTAACATCCAGACACTTTGGGGCACATGATCACAGTGAATTTACAGCCTTAAATTAACCACATCATCACAGTGGGATTCCCCCACCTCCAGCATTAGCATTGTTGCCATAGCAACAGTGCTTGATGCCCTTATGAGAGAGCTGAGGCATTTTAATTTGATGAACACCTTTTAGAGTGTTCTAGAATCATTCCATGTGATGAATGAGCTGTGATTTGAAAATGATCCTCTGGAAGAGAACATCTGTCTTGCACTTTCAGTTACCAATCTGTGAACACGCAGGTAAAATGAACAAGAAGATGGAGGCTGTTATCTACTCACCTGATAGTGATTAAAGCACACACACACTTCATATCACTTCTCACTGCCAACACAGGTCTTTCTGACCTGGTCAGTTCACATTTATGCCTTCTCGCCACATCAGTCCCCTTCTCTTTCTTTCTCTATTGTCTGAATTACATGGGAAAGTGTTATATTTGTAACTTTTCTTGCATTTTTCTCTCAGGCCTCATATACTTTGTTTTAGTTATTCATTAGCATGTGGATGGCAGACTGAAGCGGCCTGCAGGGAAGTGTGGTCTTCCCAACTTCAGCGTCAACTGTGCCTGGGTGGTCTGTACACATTTTGAAGCCTTTCAAAATGAGGGCAAAGGCAGAGGAAGATGGTCATTGGAATGAATCAGAAACTCCAATGGCACAGTCATGAAATATTTGAAGATTGTGAAATAAAATATTTGCCTTTTTGTTTCTTATTTTAGAATTGATTTCAAGGGCTTTTTAAAAAGCAAGTTTATTTTTCCAAGAAGCGTTATTTTTGCATTGTCTGCCAGATTTTGTAAGTCTTTTTGTGTCAGTTGCTCCTGTGTGTTTTTCTCAGGTCCATTATTTATATCAAACCACAGTGCTATCTTAAAGTAGAAGGCCAAATTTGATAGTTTTATCTTTGAGGAACCTACCCTAGGCTGTCTTTATAACTGGTCTAACCTCAAGCAAATTAAGCATAATCAAATTGAAGGCTAATTTCTTTAGGAGAGCATTTGTTTAATTCACATGGATACTAGGCAGCCCATAAAAACTAAAAAACGGGGTTTCCCTGGTGGCACGGTGGTTAACAATCTGCCTGCCAATGAAAGGGACATGGCTTCGAGCCCTGGCCCGGGAAGATCCCACATGCCGTGGAGCAACTAAGCGCATGCACCACAACTACTGAGCCTGAGCTCTAGAGCCCACAAGCCACAACTACTGAAGCCTGCGCACCTAGAGCCCATGCTCCGCAACAAAGAGTAGCCCCAGCTCACCACAACTAGAGAAAGCCCGCGCACAGCAACGAAAACCCACCACAGCCAAAAAAAAAAAAGATGAATTTCCTCTTAAGTAACTTTAACCTTTTACTATTGCTTTAATTAGAGTATCATGCAATGTGTTAGTATGGACTGCAAATGAGCTTAAATAGTATAATTTTATGAAATGAAAGACAGAAATGACATGGCATGTGGAATCACTTTGAAGTGTTATGTATATAGGCCACATATCATTACTAGAAAATTAAGATTCCCAAAGCTTTCTAGAAAGCCATGTCTATGTCATCCAACTAGTTTGTTGGCCCTCAAATTGGTAAATCTGTTTTCTGTCTTAATACATTATTTCGTGGACTAGATAAAAGAAAGTTTTCCTCTGTGCTGCCAGAATTCCAAACTGGGTAGCTGGAGTATAAGGAGCTTTTAGAATATGATATGGATAACTGAAGCAACTACTAGTCCTTTGGCTGAGGTGTTTATTGAGATGGTAACATATGACTAGGCTGAAAGACAAGTGTCAGCAACTATAACAGGACTATTAATGGAAAGACAGTGTGACTAATTTCTGAGGAACAGGATGAACCATCTTTGCTGTTGCTGTTACTGTTGTCATTGTTGGTCATTTTTCTTCCTTTCTACAGGTGCTGTAATTAGTTGGTCAGACTTTTGCTCAGTAACTCAACTCAGCAGCTACTCTTTTATAGAATCTTATAGATTGGTGGAACTCATAGATTTCAAAAAATATTTTAATATTCGAGAGGATCTTGGAAGTCATCTAGCTGAACTCTCTCTTTTTATAGATGAGGAAAATGAGGCTTGGGGCAAATACGTGACATTCTAAATTGCTTTTTGTTGCTACAGAATCAGGTCTAGAATTCAGGTCTCCTGGCTCCTGGACTAGTGTTCTTTTCACCATATCATCCTACCTCCTTTGCATATCAGTTGTTCACTAAAGATAGAAATGACTGATTTTAGGAGTTTCTCCTAAATGAGGAAGAGGTGTCTCTTCCTAATGCCTGGGTCATTGCCTCCTGTATGTCCTTTTTTCTTTTTAACCACCAGAATGGTTTTATTTTTGACACTGCCAACATGCACAACAATGCATTACTTTGGTTTCCTTAAACATTACTTAAGTACGCATTAGAAATATATGTTTACATTTAAGAAATGTAACATTAAAAAAGTCCTCTATAAACATAACTCCTTTTCAATATATTTTCCTGCTTTGTTTCACACATAAATAACATAATCCACAAAGTCATAAATAAAACTATTAACTGTTATGACCTAATAGTATATACAAATTTTGGAACTTGACAAGAATGTCCCTTTTCTGATTTTATATAAATAACAACATGCAGTATTTGCAATGTTTTTTAATTAAACGAATGACTTACAATCAAAACTTTTATTGTCTCCCAACCAGTTCTCCCTATAATAGACCTTCAGTGCATTTGGTAAAGATGTCATGTATTTAAAAAGTCAAAGTGGTCAAAAGACTAGATTTTTTAAATAGAACAGAAGGTTGCCATTAAATATTACTAAGCCTTATTAAAATCACTTTGGTTTGTCTGAAGAACAAAAATTGCTACCAAAGAGTATATGCCTGTGCTATCTTTTTTTTTTTTTTTTAATTTTTGGCTGCACCCCATGGCACGTGGGATCTTAGTTCCCTGACCAGGGATCAAACCCGCACCCCCTACATTGGAAGGTGGAGTCTTAAACACTGGACTGGATTTCCAGGGAAGTCCCTATACTATCATTTAAATGGAAGCTAACAAAGTCTTAAAAAATCAGATTAAATTTGTATTAGTCTTGGGGAAAATATTCCACTGAGATTCTGTTATAGGAACAGAATCCATGCTAAGTTTTCTAAAATTTATTTTGAACCATCACTCTGATTTGTTAAAACTTGTTAAACAAATTTGTTAAAAAGGATAAAAATAATGACACATAAAAATGATCTTAGAAAGGCACATATAGAATTCCTGATATAGAACACCTGATTATTTAGTTTTTGTTTAATTACTGGAAATCTTTATTCCTTCAGAAAATAATAACATTCTTCGTTGAGTGACACCATCTATTTAGTGATTTACTAGATAACCACTCAAGGTATATTAAGTTAGCACTCAAATTATTTTTATGTAACAAAAGTAAAAAAGACTTTTCATGTTGGAATTGTTTCATTATGCATTATTATTTTTAAGGCCGTTATTTACAGAGTATAAAAATTAGAAAGAAAAACATTCTCAATTAATATTCTCACTAAATTTAAATGATTCAAATGATAATGGTAAGCTAAGCACTGTTATTACTTCTAAAATCTAAGTTTCTAAGTTTCATTTTCCAATCAATACAAATATGATCTGCTTCACACTATTAACTGCCAGTCAAACTTTATGTTTAAAAGAAACTAAATATTCTTTGTTAAAGTGCAGTTTACAAATGTTTTTCCATACTCATAAAAAACAAGATTCTGATATGCATACTGAATCTAAGTCAAAATCCACAACGGTAGCTGAAATTGTCACCTTTCAGCCTAATACAACATAAATCCAGTTATTTTGCATAAACAATTCAAAATTAAAGTTTATAATGGAAATGTCAACAAGTCATAACTACAACATTACTACGGATGGGTTTCACTATACTTCAACCAGGCACAGCTGATGTGCACATCTGATAGACAGACTGCTTAGAAAATTAAAGCTATCAGAGCTATAAATAAGGAACACATGAATATGAACACAGCAGTGCCAAAGCATTAGAACTGTTAAAAGAAAATAAGATGTGGTGTAAACACAACTGAGAGTTTTCTCCGTAAGCCACTTTCCACTGATTTATAAAGCTATGGTTTTATCATTCTTTTAAAAAGGACAATGTTTCCACATTGCTACATGCAGTGATTTCATTGTACATTCTTAACTACAATGCAATCTTCAGTCCTCCTGCAGAGCTTGACATATCTCATCAGGATTTCTTCAGAAAGTCAGGTCGTCATATTTTCAGCAGCCTTTAATGCTGCAGCGGCCTTGAGAAATTCCTTAATAACTGATGATAAAGCTTCTGGGTTAATTCCTTGTTCACAGAGCCATACACATATAGACAGAGTTTCCATATCTAATCCAGTATTCAAAATTCTTGAAATCTCAAGCAGAGATTTCTCCATGGTCTCCCTCACCGCATTCAGATTCGCCGCCGCCGCCCCGGCGCCGCTGCTACTCGCCCTGCCGGAGGCCAGAGGGCGAGGGAGGAGGGCGAAGGGCCTGACCCGGAACTGGAGCGCGCGCCTTTCTCCTGGGCACTCACACCGCGCATTCCCCGCGCTCGCCAGGCAGGCTCCGCCCCTCGCGCTCGCCTCTTGTACGCCTTGATCGGAAGCTTGTGAGTCCATCCCTCAAGATACCTATTTCCCAAGCACTCACCAGCTATTGAGACTCAGTACAGGAGCTCCCTCATGGAAACAATTGCTATGGAGTTGATAAAATAAGGTAATGGTCTTCAAAAAGCTGGGCAGAAATAGGTGGCAGTTACTGATAAACCTGTCATTGGTCCATGGCAAACTGAAAAAATTAAGGACAATATAGTAAACTTCCAGATAACCAATATTATTCAATTAATTTTAAAAATTTGAGTTTGGTTTTTCTATGTTTTCTTCATTCAGTATTTGTGATATTGGGCACTGTTGGAGATACAGTGACTTGTCCTCATGGACATTACATTCTAAGTGGGGGACACAGATTTTGAACAATAAAACATATATTTCACATACCAGTAAGTTCTATGCAGAAAATAAATCAGAGTATCAGGACAGAGAATGCCTGGAATAGGGCAAGGGTTGGTTAACTCATGTAGAGTGGTTAGGAAGGTCTGTGAGGAAGCAGCATTTGAGTGAGGAATGGATGAAGAGAAGGAACCACCAAGTAAAGATCTAAAGGAAGAACATTTCTGTCAGGAGAAAGCATGTGCAAAGGTCCTGAGGTGGGAATGGGCTTCGTGGTAGCAGATGTGGAGTGAGAAAAGGTGGAGAACAGAAGCAGATGAGATCACAGAAGTGGTCAGGGGCCAGGTCATGCAAGTAAGGCATTTGGATTTTAATCCACATATAATAGGAAGTCCACTGGAAGGCTTTAAGCTAATAGGGCAAGAGAGAGGGAAACAATTTAAGAGATTTTAGCAGTAATGTTAATGACAGAAAATGATGACGTAGACTAGGGAGGCTGGGTTGGAAATAGAGGCGATGAAAAGTGGCACATTTGGAGTATGTCTTGAATGTTGAACTGACAGGATCTGCTGAAGGACAGAGTGTGGGAAAAATATAAAAGTGTGGCTGACAGACTTTAAGGTGGTCCCCCTGACCACTGAGTTCTGATGTTCATGTGCTTGCTTAATCCCCCCCACTTTGAGTGTGTAACGTTTAACCAACAGAACATGGCAAAGGTGATGGGATGTTACTTCTGTGATTATGTCATATAAGACTCCATCTGGCTAGTAGGCTCTCTCTCTTTCTCCCTTGCTAGCTTTGAAAAAGCAAGCTGCCATGCTATCAGAGGGCCTCTGGAGAAGGCCCTTTGGCAAAGAACTGTAGCTGGCTTCTAGATACTGACAGTGGCCTCCAGCTGACATCCAGCTAGAAGTCAGGACCCTCAGTCCTACAACCACAGGAACTGAATGTTGTCAACAACCTCATGAGCTTGGAAGCAGATCACCAGCTGAGCTTCCATATGAGAACTAAGCTTCTAGATGAGAATTGAGCCCCAGTCCATACCTAAACTGCAGCCCTGTAGAGCCTTGCTGAGCCCTGACTCCTGACCCGTGGAAACTATGAGATATTAAATGTATGTTGTGTTAAGCTGCTAAATTTGTGGTAATTTGTTACGCAGCAATAGAAATGTAATACACATAGGATGTTTAAATCAACTTTTCTAGTCTTAGTATCATGAAGTGTTTAAACAATAAAAAAGCCATGATCCTTGAACACAGCTCACTTGATTTGCAGTTGGCGAAACAGGGTCACAGAGTAAGCAACACATCTGAGGCTATACAGCTCACTAGCAATTAGAATCCCACCTCCTGTTTCCGCAACTGCTTTTCCTGCTGCACTGTGCTGCTTTCTATTAAACGTTGTTTTTGTTTGTTTCTTTTAGTCTGTGTGAAGCACATCCTACAACTTTGTTCTGGTTTATTGAGGCTTGTCAGAAAAAAAGATGTCTTTCTTTTCCTCATCCAGGAGGTCTGCCCATGTGTAGTTCATCTGAATTCTTAACCTGCAACCTGTGGTAGCCTCCATCATGGAAATGAAGTGGCATTGGGTTAGGGAGAACCCTTTAGACTCTCCCAAACACAGCTTATTTTAAAACTTCCTACCCATTCAAGGCAAAGCTCCTCTTTCCCCATAAATTCTTGGGAGCTCTCGCCCTGTTTATGTGGCCTTTCCTGGAAAACAGAACCACAGTAGGGGTCACTGAACGGCCACTGGGTTGAAGTGATAGAAAATAAGAAAATAGAAAATATTTTTTAAATAGAAGGAAAGAAGGAAGGAAGGGAAGGAAGGGAGGGAGGGAGGAAGGGAGGGAGGAAGGAAACTACATGGGAGGAATGCAGCCTAAATTGCCAGTGACCCTTGGTGCTCGCAATTGAACATATATGATTAAACATAGTGAACATCTCTCATTAGCTGTACAGCTGCTGTCAAACCTGGTGGATGCATCTTACACTGTTTTCTGGGTCCATTGCCAGAGACAAGAGACAGGAACTGGAATTTTGGCTAATGCTGCTCTGGAAGTTGCTCTGTCTTTATATAGTTCATGAAGCATTGGAAGGATTTAGCAAACAGCCTCATCATATCAGGAGACTTCAGTACTTTCTTGGCAATTCTCCTAATTCTCACATATTTTCCGGCCCTTTGTCTCTCGACCTGTTCCTTGCTTAGCCTAGTACAAAGTTACTATTTTCGTTCTTTTAATGCTAGGATGAGAAAATGGAATTCTTCTCTTTCGTGTATGAGCCAAGGCATCGGGTTGACAGGGTAAAATAGGCAACAGGGATAGAGTGAAAGATGACAGATTAACATCGACACGCAGTGGACAACCAAATACTTTTCTCTAGATTACCGTAATTTGGGGGGTGGTGTGACTCAGGATAAAATGAGGCTTGTAAATAATTATGGTTTAAGTTATCAAGCTGTAGGTCAGACTCTTGTTCAGCTATTTGATATAAGAAAATACCAGCAGTCACATTTTATGGAGAAATGTTTCACCTGACCTAAGTACACAGGAATATTTACTGCAATTCTGAAAATAATTTGAGATTACTAAACTTCCCCATCCTTTTCGCTGAGAAGACACCCACCCCTTGCCCGCCCTGTTCCCACACCATCCTGCAAAAATCCTTTTTTCACTTGCCAGGACCCTGAAATTTAAGAATTAAATATGCTTATTTGCTTATCTTTGCAAATATGCTCTTTGCTTATTTGTTGTTTACCTAAAATTTATATAACTCAGGAATGATAACAAGTGAAGCTTTGTCAGCTATTTATACATGAAAGTGAGTCTATGCCATCATTTCCTGGAGCAGGTTTAGGTGAGGGGTGGGAGGCTGCTTTGATAGTGAGAGAAGTTATATGGTGGGAGGCACTAGGGAGGCACATATGGGGAATACACCTAGGGAAGGTCAGGCAAAGGGAAGGGGGCTCTGAAAACCAACACAAGCTACTTGACCATCTGCCCAGACAAGCATCAGCCTAACATGATCTCCGTCTGGCTTCTTTCCTGATCCTTGTAAGAAATGGTAGATGTCTGAACAAGCTAAAAACCTAAATAACAATTGATGTGGCACTCAAGAGCCACACATTGTTACACACTGTTTAGTAACATAAATATTATTCTGTATAGTTCCATGTATTCAAAGCTTTTAAAAGCACACTGTATTGTCAGGTTACTTAAATGGCCCGCATGGTATTACCTTCTTGTCTGATGAGGGTATATTAATGATATGCAAATTGTGCTGTATACAGGTAATGCATATAATTACATTTTCTGAATTTCCATATTTCGAGCAAGTTTAGTTTTCAGTCAGGGCACTTTACACTGTATTTAATAACACTGTCATGATTAAAATTGGTCAATTAGTTCAACCAAACAAATGATTAATTTAGTAGAATATTATTTCAATTCGGCTATTTTATTTCTGTTGCTTAAAAAAATGTAAACAAAATTAGCCAAAACAAAACCAAAATCCCAAATACTAAGCCTTCCAGTTAACTCTGTCAAAAAAATTTGAGGCATAAGAAAACAGATGATTGGGGCGGCAGCGGCCAAGCCCCCCAGCTTCGCGAAGGCTCTCGGCGCGCCGCGGCCCCCAGGCACCGGGCACGCGCCCGCCCCGCCGCCACGATACCCAAGAGGAAGGTCAGCTGCCCCGGCGAAGGAGGAGCCCAAGAGGAGGTCGGCGAGGTTGTCAGCTGCACCCGCTCCTGCAAAAGTGGAAACGAAGCCAAAAAAGGCGGCAGGAAAGGATAAATCTTCCGACAAAAATGTGCAAACAAAAGGGGAAAGGGAAGCAAAGGGAAAACAGGCTGAAGTGGCTGACCAAGAGAGTAAAGAAGACTTACCTGCAGAAAATGGAGAAGCTAAAATCGAGGAGAGCCCAGCTTCTGACGAAGCAGGAGAAAGAAGCCAAGTCTGATTAATATCACACACCTGATCCTATCAGGGGCCCCTGTTTCCCTTCTTGTACAATCCAGAGGAATATTTTTGTCAACTCTTTTGTAAATGCAGGTTTTTTAGTAGCTCTAGAAACATTTTTTAAAAGGAGGGAATCCCACCTCATTCCATTTTTTAAGTATAAATGCTTTTTTTTAAGAGGTGAAATCATTTGCTGGTTTATTTTTGGGTACAACCAGAAAACAGTGGGATATTGAATATGGGAGGCTTTGATTGTCTTGGGTGTCAGCTTAACATTCCACAGATGGAGGGTAACTTTTATATCCTATAATACAAAGCATACTAAACGGCAGTTTGGAGTCAGTTGTGCATTTGATGTCTTAAACACTTTAAATTACTTCTCTTCCGACGTTGTTTTTGGTAGAATTGTTTCCTAAAGCAAACCACTCACCCCTTGATCTTGGCTCTCCTGGGCAGAATTTTGTGCCCTCTGTAACATCTTTGGTCGTGGTAATCCAATTCTTCTAGTAATTGTTAATGTGCTGTGAACGATTGACAATTTGAGTATGTAGTGTATATGATATTAAATTGTGAATTAGTGGAACTTACGATGTAACAGCATGTCAATATTTGAAGATATTGGTACTTGATATCCTGTGAAGGAAAATTTGCCCCTAAATTTTAAGCTGGAATGTCACTGGAATAACTGTTCAGAAAAGAATCACAACTG